CTTATTTCAATGTACTATTTTATGCATATCAATCAAGATAAAGCGAAAGCGCATTTTACCTCGTTGCTGGTCGACTTGAGGATGACGGGCCTGGCCAGAGCACTTTGCTGTGGTTTCAATGTCCTGAACTTTTGAACCATGTCTTTCCTATGCTGCATGGTCGGTTTTTCGCTAGGAGGCTTGCGTGGGAGAGGTGGTCGCGGTTTGATCGTGTCAGTCGTCGGACGAACGACAGAGGATCGCTGCCTACCGTTTTCTTCTGACTTGCCGTGCACCAGCGTAGACTCGTCGAGCCCGGTCGCTTGCAAATTTCCGGTAGACTTTGCTCCATGTCTCAAACGACCGTGTGGCTCAGCTGCGACTGCGGAGCTCAGTGAAGATGCGGAGGCGCTTGCCGTCGTGTCCTGCCATTTTTCGGTCAACGCCTTCACCGAAACGCTGGATTCGCCGTGTTCCGCAGAGATCCCGTGAGAAGGCTCTGACGGATGCAGTTTGGCCGATGCGGGACGTGGCACAGGTCGCGGCGACCCACTGTTCGACGTGGGTACTGTCTTCTTCGGTAGAGGAGGTGGCTTAGAGGGCAGGGCCGGAAGTGGTCGACCTACCGGCTGTCTGCTGTCGTCGTTACGAGGTCGACCTCTAAAGGGCACACCTGTAACACCGCTATCGTCCTGGTATTTAGGTCGCATCGGCGTACTGCCTCCATTGTGTCGAGCAGGACGCAGAGTAGCACTGCCACCGCTACCGACGCCGATCGGTGTTCTACCTAATTGAAACACTTTGCACTATTGCTTCAGCTGCATCGTATCACAGTGAAGTTTTACTGGGTGATGAGGACGGCTTCAGCGTCTGTGCACCGTGTTTCTTTGCTATACGATCGTGCCCGCCGCTCAGCGTCTGGTTCAGTTCGTCAGCGAAATTCAACTTCGGCCTTGGCGTAGAAATCGGTGCAGGGCTGACTGTTGATGCGGGGCAGTTACCAGATTTTAAACCTAAGCATATAATAAATATTACGCACCACAACTATACAGGGCGATAACCAAAACTTAAAATCATACAGAACGACCTGACTCCATACAGCAACCAGATATGATATGACTAATAAATTATAAATTATTTCTATCACATTTAGACCACCATATCTTCTGCTTTTACATATACTAAGAAATGATGACCGGATAAATAGGGAGATTTATCTTTGAAGTAAGAGATTTATCTGTAGTAAGTCACTTGAAAACAGACATCATTGAATTTACATAAACATTACTTAACTAGAATGCCACGTACGTCAATACCTTTACTCAGAAGGACGGATTACGTTATAACATCAAATCAAATAACGTTCACGATTGTTACGACTGCCCGACGCCCATTAAAATAAAATGATATATGGTGCATAACTCCTCACAAATCAGGTTAATAAAATGATATATAAATAAGTTTTACACTACGCTGAACTGCGATGTCTATACTTAAAATTATTCTAGGGAATCTTTGGCAGAGAAATTCATGCTACACTCTATCACGTAGAAGTGTTGTACGTTTTAATAATTAATACGAATGGTTCTGCGGAATTTACTTATATTACGATAAACATATATCAATAGATTGTATGATACCGTTTTAGATTACAACAGATAAGTCGTCACTGTAGTATATGAAAGTCTAAAACTACTTCACCATAAAATGGTCCATTGTGCATGATATAATTCAATAGTACTACACTATCCTACAGTGCGATATTTACCCTGTATTCTCATTTCACTACGTAGGTTATCTTGTAGCTCAGAAATCCTGAGATTTGATCCCCAAGAAATACTGCCAGTCTCTCTCAGTCATGAAATAGAAACAGAATTGTATAGTAATAACACACAACTTCGGAATACAAACTTATCATTGTCGCAAAGTGGTACGGCATTATTAAATAATTATAGAGACAATTAACTTAACTGCAATCAAGTAATATTACGCTCTCCTGCTAATTCTCCGGATTTACATGGCGAAGCACCATCCTCGCTTCTAGTAGCCTAGGAGGCTATGGAATCTTAACACCTGCGGTGCACGGGCACGAAACAGCACCACTTTGTTGAGTCGAAAACGGTGCTTCGACGTGAAAATCGGAAGGATTGATAGGAGAATGTTATTCTTACCGGCGATATTGAAAGCTAATAGTTTGCAAGCGAATCCATAATAACGGGGTTTATTTATTTTTTATAATACTACATTAGGAATTTTAATTTCTTCAAACAGTATGAAACTAAATGCGACGTGGATTACCGTAATACTGTCTTCGCCTTGAGGCCCTCTTCGTTTCGTTTGTTTTACTGAATTGCGCATTTTTTCTAGCAACATATCTGGAATTTTGTCCATTTTATTTGATTTGCTTACTTTCCTAATCGTCACCAAAGGAGTAGCTCTTGCCATTTTTGTACAATTTTCAACAAGAAACTTCCACTCTCTTTATTCAGTGATGACAGTCTCGTGTTCTATGTTAAGAACAAAAAAATTTCATTTTCCCACCGTTAATTTTTAATTTCTTCATGCTTCGGTTATTTACAATAGTTTCAGACGTATTATTTTATTCCTTCCTTTAACTTTTTGAAAAGTTCCACGCATTCAATCTTAATTTCTCTTCATTTCTTCATATGCTGTTTTGACTGGCTTTCATAATCCTTTATCACAGATGTTTTC